TGGCAGACATCAGTCCTGATAAGTAACCTGGGTTGTATTATATGTGTCAGATGAAGCCACTGAAGGCTTTGGGCAGGAATGAGATCTGATCACTCAGGCCGCTAATCGTTCCTCCAAAGAGGAACAAGACAGAAACTGGGAGCCCTGTTAGGAGTTTACTGCAGTAGTTAAGGCAAATGAAGATGATAACATGTACTCTGATGGGTAATAAAGGAGAAAAATGGAAAAAAAGCATTCAGGATGTCTTAGAGCTAAAGAATTGATAGATCAGATAGTAAGGCCTTTGTTCGCTTTCATTTGCATTCGACATTCTAATAAATAAGCAGACTTCAAGAAGACAGCCAGGTGTGTGAGTCTTGAGCTCTATGATGAAGTCTGACTTCCTGGCAAAGATTGTTCTCAAAGCCCAATGATACAGTCCGCTTATTTGTATCTCTGACTAATCAATGTTCTTTAGAAGGATAAACTTTAGGGGAGAAAGAGTTAATAGACACAATTTGATAACAATGATGTATATAAGTAAACAAAATAGTTTATAAACTATGAGCCTTTTTTAATTGATAAAGCATTGTTATTTTAGAGATGAGAGTCTTAACATTGATAATCAGAATAATTATCTTTGAGAAATTTAAGTGCACAGACTTGTTTCAGATTGCCTGCCTATGAATCCCAGCCTCCCCACTTACCAACTAAATAATATTGGGCAAATCATTTAACCACTTAGTGCCTCAATTTCCTCATCTGTAAAATGGGAATAATAGTAAATACATCATAGTGTACTTGTGAAGATTAAATGAGCTAATACACATAAAGCAATCAAAATATTATGTGCCAGCATCTGGCATATAACCACCACTCAACAAATGCAGGTTAGTGTTATTATCTACAGTCTCCTTATACTGCACATAGAAGTGTGTTCACACTTCAGTTTTCTAGTTAGATGCTTGGTAAGAGATGAATCAAATATTCAGAATAAGCTAGGGAAGCACATGCAAAATCCTCTTCAAAAAAACAGAGGCTGAGAATTTGGCAGATTGCTAAAACATCCTCTTTAAAAGTAAGCTGTAGGGGTGCCTGGGTGGCTCAGTTGATTGTCTGACTCTTGATTTCAGATCAGGTCATGATCTCAGAGTCATGAGATCAAGCCTTGCCAGGATCTGTACTCAGCAGGGACTCTGCTTGAAATTTTCTCTCTCTCTCCCTCTGTCCCTTCCCTGGGCACTTTCTCTCTAAATAAATAAATAAAATCTTAAAAAAAAAAAAAAAAGTAAGCTATACATGTGCCAGTTATTCCTAAATCTCTTATCTCTAGCCTTGACCCAACCCTGGAGCTCCAGATTCATACACCCTGCTACCTGCTGGACACTTGACTTGCTAACTTAAGAGGCATATTATTGGAATAAAAAGGGAAAACAATCAATATTCTCTTCAGTAAGTGAATGATCAAGTGACCAACTCCAACTGCAAAAACTCTTGGCTCTGCTCCATAAGTAACAAAATCCCTGCTGGGAATGACATTCTCAGTTTTCAAGCAACACTGAGAAAGTGCCCAGTTTAGTCAACTACATGAAACCATGGGCACTGTATCTGTTCATTTTAGCATTAAGGTTTCACAATTATGATTCTAATGCATGTATTTACTATAAATAACCTCAAATAATTTCTTAAGGTATGCAGGGAATAAGGAAATAAGTAAAATGAAATGTCAGATGCCATTAGATGACTCCTAGACTCTGTTACCTGAGCACACCGGCTGAATACTCTTCAGCACACACAACTCTCAGTGGTCTTATCCTGGACCATGACTCCAATCACCAACAATGATGTCAATGGGGTGACATCCCAGATAGACTAGGACAGTCCCAGAAAAATTCTAATAGCATGGCCTTTCATTCTTAAAAGTATTTAATTGGGTGAGAAATTATATATCTATCTACATACATGATCACAAAGAACTCTGTACATCTAGCAGCATGCATGCTTTATTCAGCTAATTATCTCTCAAACACCAGGTGCCAGGTCCCATGTTGGGTTCCAGTAAAATGCAGAATTCTAACACAAGAGTGGAAGTTCTGAATAGCCCTAAGATGTATGCAAAAAAGGGTCATATGTAGATCAAGATCAAGAGCTTTAGTAAGGGTCTCTGAATTACATTTCCTTAGACAATAAGTAGATAGCCAGATATGTTAGACAGATGTTTTACATAGTGTGTATCAGTGTTTGGGAATCTGTATGTTTGTACAGTTTGCTTTCAGAAAACATGCCTAAGAATTCATGACCACGAATGCTGAGCCTTTGTTATAGATGTAGATTGTTAAAATGGCTAAATGCTTCTTGCTACCATAAGCGTGAATGGAAAACAGATGGTAAGGAAAGATGTTTACTTTTATAAGCAAGTAGCATAGCACACAACAGAAATAAAGGCATCATTATAACTATCTTTCCTTTCTCTGACTTAGGGCACTATTTCTCCCATGACTTTCAAAACAAAAATACAGTTCACACATTTTAGGCTGATCTTTCCCCCATTAACATAGGTAGAATCAGGAAATCTGAATTGGTTCGGTTGTGATTTTTTTCTGAATTAGAAATACCATACAGATTATTTAGCAAATCACTGACAAATAATCAAGCATATCTCAAAGAAGCATATATGCTCACTATACTTAGAAGCAGTTAACAAAGCAAATGCCCCTGATACATTTAAAGTCAGCAATTTTGAAATGTTAACCTTAGAGTTAGAAGGAATCTAAGAAGCAGGGTGCCTCTATCTTGATGGGAATCCTGGTAACTTACATGAAGGATGCTATAAATCCAATGTTTAGAACAGTTGGTTTGTTAAAACCCTTAAAAAGATCATCTCTGGGCGCCTGGGTGGCTCAGTGGGTTAAGCCTCTGCCTTCGGCTCAGGTCATGATCTCAGGGTTCTGGGATCAAGTCCCACATCTGGCTCTCTGCTCTGCAGGGAACCTGCTTCCTCCTCTCTCTCTCTGCCTGCCTCTCTGCCTACTTGTGATCTCTGTCTGTCAAATAAATAAATAAAATCCTAAAAAAAAAAAAAAAGATCATCTCTAAGGACACCTGATTTTACTGATCATGATACTGAGGCTCAGTAAAGACACATTGTAATAGTGGATAAAGTATGACTTTGAAACTCAGGCATACTTGTGTAATCTCTTCCCAGATCTCTTCTTTGCTGTGTGTTTCTAAGAACATTACTGAACTTTTCTGTTTCTCATCTATAAAAATGAAAGTAATACATATCTTTTAAACATATTATGAAGATTAAATGAATTTATGTTTATGAAAATATCTGGCATATTAAAGACACTCAATACACATTAATTTCTTTCCTTCTAAATGGTGACTAACTTGAGAGACATGGCCAGTAATGGGCAAGAGGCAAGGCTAGAATCAAGACATAGGATCCCCTTTACCACTCAAAAGGAATTCAGTTATTTCTTAAATGATTTCTATACTTAAATCACATAATAAAATATAGCCGTAAACACCTGAGTTAAGGCGGGAAGGGTTATCAGAGTAAATGTGTAACACCACAGCCTGCAAGAGATATTTCTTAGAAACAAAGTAGCAACAGAGTCAGGAAGTTTACTGGAGGAAGTATTACACTGGCTACCTTTTCAAAAATGACATCCACTCAGTTTGTACCTGAAGGCAACTCTTCTGGAAACAATGTAGAATTTTGCAGCTTTAATGGATACTTCACAACACATATTTCAAAATTAATGTTTGCAGCAAGTATGTATCAAGTATCAATCATGTGCAGTGCCTGGTGGACAATAGGACATGGACCAGACTTTGCTTTTTTTTTTTTTTTTTTTTCCTAAAAAATATCTTAGAATCTGGTAGAGAAGAGAGGTGGACTTTGAAGAACGATTGCAAAACATAATTGTATACTAAGCCTCATGGAACTTGAAAGGTTCAGTCAGCCTGTGGTGAGCAGTTACTAAATGCCACCTACTTAAAGATAAAATATCCACCACATTGGCAGTGGGTACACGTAGCATAGTAAGTTGTTTGAATTGAATTAACTAAATTCTAGTCTTGTTTCTGACACCAACTAGCTACAAGAACTTGTGAAGTTACTTGATATCTTTAGGTCTCATGTTTCTCTTCTGTAAAATGGCTGAGTTCAAAAGGATGATTGGTTTCTAAACCTCCTTCAGGCTTTAACAGTCCAAATAACAAGATGATGATGATAGCAAGAAAAACCATAGCTTATATTTACCTCGCACATATTCTGTGCCAAGCACTGTGCTAAAGTGCATCATTTGTATTATGTTTTTTTAATCTTCATAATAATCTTATGAAATTGGCATTATTATCCGTAATTCATAGTTGAGGAAAGGGAGCCGAAGCAGTATTAGTGGGGCCAGAGTCTCCATTTGTTTTTGTTTTCTTAAGATTTTATTTACTTGACAGAGAGAGAGCTAGCCAGAGAGGGAACACAAGTAGAGGGAGTGGGAGAGGAAGAGAGAGAAGCAGGCTTCCACCCCTCCCCCCGCTCCACCCCAAGCAGGGAGCCCGATGAGGGGCTCGGTCTCAGGATTCTGGGATTATGACCTGAGCGGAAGGCAGATGCTTAACGACTGCGACACCCAGGTGCCCCAGAGTCTCGATTTGAGCAGAAGCACTCTGAATCTAATCCAGGAGTTACCCTTAACCACTACGCGCAAACTCCCTGAATTCAAGAAAAACCTACCTATTAAGAAACACGTAAAAGGAAAATCTTTCCTTCAGGGTCTTTCCTGACAGGCGGGTAGACCTGAGTTAAAGCCACACTGTTCACCTAGTAATAAGGTTCCCGCACCACTTCATTCCCGACGCTCGTGCGCTCCCACAACTGGGCACACCACCAAAGGCCATACATCGTTACCGCCAGAGGCTGGCATGGGCAGAGGCTCACCTAAGGACGCAGGGGTTGGGCGGGGGGAGGTCGGTCAGGGGAGGCCCCGCAGCCGCGCGGGCAGAGTGAATACCTGGGCTGCTGGCTGCTCCTGCAGGCTGGTTCTCCCACCACTCGTCTCCAAGGTCGTCTGCCATCTCCAACGGGATTAGTTGTGAGCGGACCACCAAGGGAAAGCGGACAGTGGCAGATATTCTCCTTGCCTCCAAGCCAAGAGGCCAGAGTGGGCAACCAGCACGCGGAGTGTCTCCTCAGACACCGTCGCCTCCGCCCCGCGGCGATGACGTCACATCTCCGCCCCGCCTCCCCGTCCCAGGCGCTCATCTCGTCGCAGTTTCCACACAAGTGCTGCTGAAAAGGCTCTGTCAGGTAACTCAAAATAAATCCTCACAAAACCATAAAGACAAGAAAATGAAAAACCCCCGAAGATTATTATCTTTTTAAATAACTTCTTTCAAAACTTTGTGTCCTTTTGTTGTTGTTGTTGGTCGAAAAACTATTGACGAAAGTGTGAAACAGGATGCTAAAACAATTTTTCTCTATTCGGTTTCAAAGGACTCCTGCCGCGGGAGAAGAGCAGAGCACGTGGTTGTGTTTTCGTTTGTGTGAGTAGGGGCGTCGGTGTGTGTAGTTTGCTCCTGGGAAACGTGTGCAAGAATTCATGACCATGAATGTTGAGCCTTTGCTATAGATCTGTGTACCGCTATTTTTAGACAGTATGGGTTAAGAAAATTTGATTGGTCCGGAAGGACTCGCCCACGAAAAGACTTTAGTGGCCCGGAGGCTCAGAGTCCTCGGTCTCCTTTACTTCTGAAACAAGAGGAGCGAGTCTGCTTAACTACAGGTAAAAAACCTACAGTATTTCTTGTCTTACAATTCCAGCGTGAAGTGGCAGAGATAGGATTGATAGATTATGGGAAAGGAAAGTTAGATAAGAAATACGAGCATGGAAGAGGAAGTGTCATGACCAATAAACAGGTTAAATGATGTTCTGTCTCCTACTAACCTGGGAAGTAAAAAAGAGACCTCAACGAGACACTGTTTTTCATGCAGTAAATTGACAAAATTAAGGAAGTATGACATTACCAAGTTCTAGAGTACATGCATCAGTGGGAATTCCTTCACCTTACTGGTGTGAATGTAAATTGGTAATAACCACTTGGAAAAGCATTTGGCACAATCTTATAGAAGTAAACCTACACACCGCATGATGCAGCAATTTCCACTCTTAAATATACACACTTGGTAAACACTTGGATACTACAGAACATTCACAGCAGCATTGTTAGTAATAGCAAAAAAGTGAAAACAACCGAAATATGTTTGTATAGGAAAATGGATAACTACGTTATAATATAGCCATACAATTAAGCATAGGAAATGAATCAACATACGTAATTGCTTGGATATATTTTGGAAACATAATGCTGAGTTTAAAAATGTCAGATGCCATTTTATAATGTTCAAATACAGGGAAAACCAAAAATTGTTTAGGTCAAAAATTACATATGTGATTTTAAAGAAAGAGAGTAGTAAACACAAAATTTAGGATATGGAGTAACCAGGAGATGGGATTAAGAAGAACAAAGGTAAATGTAACTTACTGGCAAATGTCCAATTTAGATAAAGTGGAGAGTTCATAGATGTGCATTGAATTCTTACGGTTTATAATTTATAGACATGTTACATATATTTTTGTGGCATTTAATAGTATTTATTTACCTAATTTAAAAGATAAGGGAAAATTCACTTAGAGGAAAAAGACATTTTCAGTAGTTAAATTAGGTGCTATGTAAGAACTCACTAAGAATTCCAATTAGTGACCCAACATCTCAAACAACACTCAAAGCTTCCAGATAGTTCTGCTGCCTTTCCCATATGATTTCCCTTTCCCACTGTTTCTGATATTATCCCAGGATCAGTCTTCCTTTTGTGTCCTGGATCCCAACCCCCTTTTACCTTCTAACCTCTTCCACTTCAGTAAATGTGAGTACCATCCTTCTGGTTGCATTGTCGTCATCTGATTCACTGGTAAGTTTGGAGGGATCTATCTCCAAAATATATCCCAAATCTAGCCATTTAACCAACCATCTCATCACTTCCACCACTACAGCCTTTTCTGAGGTAATCATTCTTTTCTGAGCCACTGTAATAGTCTTCTAACCTGTTTTTCTCTTGTTTTCTCTTGTCCCACCTCAGTCTTGCTTCCACACAGAAAGTAGTCAGTATCATTATGTCACTCCTCTTAAATGCTTTATTCATCTCTTATCACACATCCACTCACCTCCTTGGGGATTAGAATTGCATCTTTCCTGTTCACCACTGTGACCTTAGGACCACGAACAGTACCTGGCACACATAGACACTGACAAAATATAGATTGCCTGACTGAATTTGAACCTCTTTTATTCTGATTGTTTTACTTACTAAGCAACCTGTTAAGTTTGTTTGCCAAGTCAGCTTCCTTTCTGGTGACAGATATAAAAAGTCAGCAAACTAACGCCCCCAGCAAATGCAACCTATCACCCAGTAAGTGAGGATAGTTTTTACATTTTCAATGCACTGCTGAAAAACAACAACAAAATAAAACACACCAAAAACCAGAAAGAAAGGAACTAAGGAAGAAAGAAAGAAAAGAAAAGAAACATGCAACAGAGACTGTGTCCCTAATGTATTTATACCTGGTCCTTTATAGAAAAAAGCTTATAGCCAGCCTAAGTTGTACATCCATTTAACTGCTCTATTGATCAGTGAATTGACATCCTACTTCAGAAACTCATCTGTTGTAAAATTCTGTACCCCAGTATTTGATTACCTCATCTAACATGGAGAAGCTCAAGTTGAAACAGATCTTTATCTTCTTCTTTCTGTATGATTTCTAAATGAGTATTAGCAGAATTTACAAGAGGAAGCATTCACTTCCCAGCAGAGTGCACTGAGAAGCCTTCATAAAGGATGTGGTACTTGAATTTGACCTTGTCAATGGATATTGATTGGCATATTGTTTGGACATGTCATTTAATCTTGGTGGGCTTCGCTTTGCTCATAAAGGGAATGAATTAGATGATTCTTGAGTTCTTCCACCTCCATGCCTTAATCTTGAATATCCAACCAATAATTCCAGATATTAGTGTTCATTAGATGCAAAGGATGTGATGGAAATACTGTTTTGGGAAAGCTAAATTGGTGTCACCATGCAGGGCATATAATAAATTTGAGTGGAGCTTTCCACCTGGTATGGGTATGTTAAGTTACTGATTCCCTCAGTCTTAGAGACAATTCCCTGGGCCAATTATTTCAGGTTGAAGGTAGCCTCATCTCTTCACTCCAGTGTTAAAGAAATATTGCTATTTTCTATGGGTGCCATGATGTAAAAAGTTTGGGAAAGACTGGATTAGAAGGGGGAAAAAAGTTTAAAGGCTGTTTTGTGAAGACTCACCATACAATGAAAAGAGTTTAATGAAAACAGGGGTTCTTTGTCCTTGAACCCAGTTTATATATGTACCTTAGGGAGTCCATGAACCCCTGATGACATATTTAAACTTTTGCATCATGTGGACAATAATAATAACAGTAACAACAACAGCATGATTCAGGTACCTTTCTAAGCACTTTATGTCTTAATTCATCTAATTGTCATAGCTCCATGAGCTACTCTTTTGGATCAGGTATTTTCCATTTACCATTCTCTACCCTTCTGTCACTTAGAAGGCTGATGTAAATCTCCTTAAGCCCTGATTTCAGATTTGGGCTCAGCAAGTTGGAGGCATCAGTAAGAAATCAAAGGATGAGAGAAAAATGACTCCCTGTATTGTTATCTTTTCCAGGCTGGGACTAGGCTGTCACAAGCAGAGGTCTAGGATACAAAATTTAAAGAGGCACTCACTCTCAGGCTGGCACTTGTATGAACCTGAAAGCGAGTGCCTCCTAAGTGTTCTGCTGGATGTACCTGCTTGCTTTACACTCGTCCTTGCCCTCATCCCTCCACTGGAGGCCAAGTCTCTCTCAGGCTTAGGGGTAATAATGGCTCTCCACCATTACCAGCCCTTGGGTTTTATACCATCCTTTGTTTTCCTAACCCTACCTCATCTGCATAAATGCTCCCTTTACTAATTTTTTTTTTATTTGTGCAACTTAAAGGATGCATTTTTTCCCTGCTTGGATCCTAACTGATAGGTTTACTGCCATAGTTTATGTTCCCCCAGAAGCAGAGCATAGATACAAGTAGTTTATTTGGGATATGATCTGATGTGGGGGAGGGGGCAGAAATAAAGACAGGGAGAGTGAGATGAGGAAGGAAGGATGAATAGTAAATTGGTTATATAACTGGCTCTTTATCCTGTAAGGGACCCTCTGAGAAACAATGTAGACTGCCTCGGAGTTATCCGAGGGAGTAGGATATCCAGAGCACCTGAGTGGTTCAGTCGGTTAAGTGGCTGCCTTTGGCTCAGGTCATGATCCCAGGGTCCTGGGATGGAGCCCTGCATCAGGCTCCCTGCTCAGCAGAGAGCCTGCTTCGCCCTCTCCCTCTGCTAGGCCCACCACTTGTGCTTTCTTTCTCTGTCAAATAAATTAATGAAATCATTAAAAAAAAAAAAAAGGAATAAGATATCCACTGACTGCCATCCACTATTGGTTGAGGGTTGTCCCCAGGAATTTGAATTTCCAGATACTTTCAGGCTATGCTGCCACTGGAGAAAGCCCTGAGGCAGAAGAGCAGAGTTACGTAACTCAGCATGCTTGAGGTAGAATTCTAGCAGCTACCCAGAACTTTTCTCCATCACTGGACTGATTTCAAAGTGGGCTGAGGGGCACGAAAACATCTGCTTCACGTTTGTACTGTTAGTTTCTCTATTTTATAGATGGTGAAACTAAAGCTGGGGAATTAAGTAATTTGGCTCTAGTCACCCATCCAGTAGGTGGCCTCCCATCTGCCCGTGGCAGATAACTCAAAGTGATCTGTGACCCCAAAATGACCCATATCCAATGGACTAGGAAAAAAATAGTATAGAAGAGAAAGAAGAACTGAAGTGAGGAACATCACTGTCAATTTGTGAAAATAGTTTGGAAGTAAAATGGTGAGGAAAAGAGGACAAAAAAATTAGTTTCAAGTCCTAAAAAGTGAAATATGATATCATCTTTGATGAAACTAGCAAAACAAAAATGAGGGAATAGTTTGGGGTGAAATGATGAGTTTGATCTTAGACGAAGTGGAATCAGATGACAAGTCAATAGATAATTTCAGAT